CGACGCTGGACACGGTCAACAATCTCGGGGTCCTGTACTACAGCCAAGGCAAGATGGCGGAGGCGGAGGAGATGTACTTGCGGGCGCTGCGCGGGTACGAGAAGCTGTCATGGGTCTCGCCGGCTCGTATAAAATTCGTGAAACAGTCTTTATCATCTTTGCGCGAACGACCGAGCCGCTCTCACAACGAGCAATCGAGCGAGAGCATCCCACGCAATGGCGACAACTATGCGATACTGTCGGCGACGCCTCTGAACACAGGGGTTGCAGAGAGTCCCACAGCACTTAGCAAGTTGATGCGCAAGATGTGGAAACGCTGGTAGCTTAGATAACCTTATGAATTGAAGTTCTCTATGTAGTACATTCTGATGTCAATCTAAGATAATGTTCCTATATAAACTTGAATTGATCATCCTTGTATCGCGTTGTTATCGTCTCCACGAGGACTGTCGGTGATTGGACAATCCACAAGAACTAACTGTACAGACGAAACAACTGGCGCTGTAGACCACAGTGGTTCTAGAGCCCTCGGTGTGGACAGGTGTGCTTGGATAGATTACGGAGGCGTATAGCATGTCTCCTCCAGAGTCCTCGGCCGCGAGCATGACTCAGCAATTGAGGTGCGAAAACGATACCATGAACGCCTACGACGGCAGCGCTCGGGATCGCGCAACCTTCGTCTCGTGAAGATAATACTGAAGGTAGCCGTAGAGCTACGTCTGAGCGATCGATAGAGGCCGATGAATATGTAAATGGATTTGTAGTGTGCCTGTATGAAGCGATCGATCGGTCAGGTCGGATTTCGCACAAGGACGGAATCGATGACAGCGTCTGCAAGATGAACCCAAGTTGGACGTAGAGCAGTCGACAGGAAGCTGGCATTCCGGTCTACACCCCAGATATGCTGGCGCGCATTGACACAGCTGTTGCAGAATATTATAGATGAAAGTGTTCAATGCTGGCTCGTTACGCAGGGTGGCTCGCGACGCCGGGAGGGACGTTAAATAAATTATGAGCCTCGAAGAAATCGCGGCCGAGTATATAATATCCCCCAGGGGCCTCGACCATAACCGCAATGAGAACCCATCAAGATCTCCAAGCCTAGCCGAACAGCAACGAGCCTGTCCCATTTCTGCCACTGTCTTCCCTCTCCGATCATCATGTCCGACAAGCCGACAAGTTCCCTCGACATCCTTAACCCAACACCCTCCAAAAACATCCGCACACCGGAGGAAGGCGAGAAAGCCCACCACCTCGAAGCGCTCTCCAAACTCATGATCGAGCGCGCCGCGGCGCAGGACTTCACGCACCCGGTCTGGCGGAACCTCTCGCCCAAATTCGTCGGCGAGTTCGACTACCACACGGAGGAGCCGGTGCGGGACTTCGCCGGCTTCGTCCGACACCACCGCACCATCCGCGAGAAGTTCCCCGATTACTTCTTCGAATTCGTGAATGTCTCCGCGGACGTCCATGAGCGGAACGGCACAGCGAGCGTGTACGTGCTGTTGAAGGTCACGGGCTACCCGACGAGTTTGGAACGGGCGAGCATTCTGGTCTTGAGGTGGAGACATCAGGAGGACTCGTGGAGTTGCTATCGAGAGGGGGTTATCCGGGGCATTCAGTGGCACTGGTGAACATTGTTGTTATTGCATCGGCCAATCTTTGGGTCACTGCTTTATCGTTTTGATGGAAAGCGACCATCTCGGGGCATTTCTCATTACACGAGATTGATGGAGCCGGACGCGGGACGCCTGGATGGCATAATTCGCCCGCGGCTTCTGTTTTGTCCTACCATTTCGGCGTCCGGGTGCGGGTTTCGCTGATTTACATTTTCATAGCGATGGCGTTCGGTGTTTCTGGGCATGTCATGGTGTTGGATTAATTGTTGGACTGCTGTACGAAATACATGGCTACGGTGCAAGCGGCTTAAGGGATAATTGGGACGTCTACTCCTCCAGCGTGATCATATATGTGGCAGGAATGACATTGCATTAATATTGAAAATCTCATTTCCTACACCATGGTCTTTAAAATCAACCCGTGAGAATTGTTTCGTTGTCTCTTCTGAGGAAACGAGGCGGAAAAGAGCAGCAATCAATTAACGTCAAACACCAGAGCGCGGTCCACCCCACGGCGTGGTCCACGAATTACGTGTCCATAACAACAACAACTTCAACACGCGATGGCACCATCAAAACGCGTCCAAAAGAGCTCAAACGAAGGGAGTGTACTGCTTGCAATATCAGCTTTCAGATCAGGTGACATAGGATCTGTAAATGCTGCTGCAAAAACCTACGGTGTCTCAAAATCAACGCTGCTTCGGAGATTGAAAGGAAGTCCTGCTCGAGAGGACTATATGCCACAGAATAGCAATCTCACTCCAATCGAGGAGGAGATCCTTCTTAATAGCATACTGAAGCAGGATGCCGAAGGGCTGTCGCCTACG